TCTATTTTCTAATCACTTTATCTGATACATGGTTGGGGGGAACTGGAGCTTTGCCTGGCAATCAACAGGTGCAATCAACAGGAGCAGACATACACATGCACAAATTCACACCAGGACTAGTTTTCACAGAAGCCAACTGACCTACCAGGGGAAACGCCAATAACCTTATCTCATGTGTCTTGATGCGATCTGGTTACAACTATAGCAATCTTTCCATTGATTAAAATGCAACTACAGTCTTATAAGATAATGAATGGGTCACCATGTTGTGAACCTTCCAAAATATAGTACAGAGTGAAATAATTATTCTTAGAATTGTAATATTCTATTAACTGTTAAAATCTACGCAAATCTGCAAAGTGCAAAGTAAGTCATATACTGCACTTAACTAGGACTACTCTACACAGTGAATGCATAAACTACACTATTTCAAGTTTTGGATGATGGGATACAGTTTTGAACTGCCAAGTAATCGAAATGATTGGGGATTTGCATTGAGTAGCAACATTTTTCCTTTAGTTTTGTGATCTTACCTGATACAACTATTGTTGATCCATTGCCCATATTGATACTGTTCCCGATCACAAGGGAGCAATAGTATGTCCCAGTGTGGTGAGATGTGGCATTGACAATGGAGTATGTACACATCTCCCCCTGTGATGTTTTTGATCCACTATGCTGAGAGTTCATGCAAGGGCTCATCATGTGAGATCTCTGGACCTCACCCGAGCCAAAAACAGCTCTCGGATCAACAACTTAATCAGGAGCTCCCGGCATCACAACTGCATTCCTTAGGTGCTTTCCTACCACCCTAACACCCTTTCTGTCCCAGGACCATTAACGACAACTTCCCCATCTTACAGGATGATCCCTCCACCAGTACCCTTTTTTCTGTCCGCCCCATCATCTCATATCGCTGACCACCTAATCTGCGTAACCTTCTTGTACACAGCTCCCTTGTCCGCCCTCAGCAATCATCCACACCAGACATTTTCCCCTACAACAAAACTTGCTGCATCACCTGCAAATGCAGTGCCTATATAAAGGCTACATCCCCTTGGACTTTTTCACATTTGATTGTGTTACAGCATGGAACCATAATCTATTTAACTGAGACTTATTGCCACTCATCAACACAAAGTACTCTATAATGTCAAAGTAAAAAAAATCCAGACATTAAATACATCATGGTTCCATGCTGTAACACATTAAAATGTGAAAAAGTCCAAGGGGGTGTAGACTTTCTATAGATACAGTATATATATATATCCAATACCACGCTTATTCAAGGCCCCTCAGGACAATTCTGGATCACTCAGATGACATCTTGTACCTCCAGCAACCTTATTTACTGCATCTCTTGCAGCAAATGCCCAGCTACAGTATATAGTACTACAATATACAAAAGTGACACATTGGGGAAACAGGAAGGAGACTGGGAGACCACTTCAGAGAATGTCAGGGCTGTGAGGATCAAACATTTCTCTAAGCCCATAGTTTCTCATTTCACCTCTAATGGCCATGATCACACTGATCTCTCCATCTGCGTTCTCAAAGATGGGTTTCTCAACTCTTCTTGCAGAAAGACATCCAAAACCAAAATTATCCTGAAAGTAGGATCACACCTTCTCTGTTCTCTCAATGACAGATTTGTTTCCTTCTAATCTTCTCTATTCATTTGCAGTTTTAGACTTCATACCTGTCTTCACCTCTCTCGACTTCGCACCACCAGAGCGCACACTCTGCCTTCCCCTCTGCTCCCGCCTCCTCTCCACTCCTGGCTCTTGTTCTCCCATGGTGTATCAGCTGTTGACTTTCCTTTCTCACACTCAAAGAAGGCTTTACAGACAAAACATTGTGTTTCTTTTCTTCTCTTTTCTGCATGGAATAAACCTTTACTTGTTCATTTTCTCAGTACACCACACCACTCTGGTAAATCAAGCTGGAGATTTCTTTATTATAATAAAGAAAGGAGGACAGACAAGGTTAACAGGTTAATCATGTCTCTCCCTCATTTTTCTAAGAACAGCAACAAGCTGTTATTCTTGAGGATGAGAAAAATTTTCTTTCAAAAACATACATTTATGATTGGTCAGTATCAGTTTTTTACCGTATAAGGTGTAATTACGGTAAGAGAGTTAGGAAATGACAGTAGGCAATTAACGAAGACCCTAATCAAATAAAACCCCTGTTCCCTTTCATGTTGCTAAATCACGCGTAGGAAACATGAGTTACACCTCCACATATAAAACAGTTCTTGAGGTTCAAACCATTAACTCCTAATAGGCTTAGGTTCCTTCAGGTGGAAGAAATTCAACTGCACTAACTGAATACCAGAGGAATTATCTAAAAGTTGTTTGTTTAAGCCAACCAATACTGACTCTGTGTTGATATCTCAATACTGTAAGTAAGACATGCATTGCTAGGCATAAGTTAATCCTTTTTTATAAAGCAACCATAAGTTTGTAAGGCTAAAATCTTAACTAAAAACCGACTGAAAAAAATATAAGAGCACCCAGTGTTAAGGAAGCAGATTTTGGACAGGTGAAAAAGTTTACATTCTTTTGTAGTATCCATTTTAGTTTTTCACCAGTAATTTATATAATTTTGTCAATGTAAGAGTGTAGGTCTACTGTATGTTCAAATGTACTCTAAAGTTCACTAAAATATTATTTACTGTATGCTTCTGTATATATTTTCAATTGCTTGTGATGTTATAACTCTGCTGTTACAGAATTATATAGATACAATTTATTTATCTAAATACAAGACAGATATCAGTCATAATATTCTTATGAACCAGTTTTGGAATAAAATGTTTAACATGACCAACTTTTAATCACAAATTGCAAACAAAGTACTGTATTATACTGTACAGGTTAGAAGCATATTGTTTTCATGCCAGTGAGAACCTTTATAATTTGTGATGTTTCATAATATATGTACATGGTACTGCAATATACAAAATTGACACAGATGTACATATTTTAAAATATATTGCAGTAAATTCTACACAGTATTTTAAAATATATTAACATTTAGTTTACTTTGCTAAATATATTGCAATACATGACAGCAATAATAATTTAGATACTTTAAATATATATTCCAAGGTATTCAATTATATCTTCTAAACTATTTAACGGTATATTATTCCAATATTCTAAAATATATTAACTATAAGTTTATATATTACGGAAAACGTGTTGCAATAATTGAAAATTGCATTATATAAAATTAAAACTGCTACACTCTGTTTTACACTCAGTATACCTCAGAATTTTGAATTATATTTCTTTCAAAATATGACAGCATATAATAACATTTTAAATATATTCCCATTTAGGAAGAAAATTAGGTTCAATACGACATGTTTCTCGTCCTTATTCAACAACCATCCAATTCTTCCAAAGTTCGCAGTTAAAAAGAAATGCCGGCCAGCAACAATCCCAAACACGGGTCGTCTCTTCTCGGAGAGCCTCCGGCTTTTAAATCACCATAAACAGCGAGAATCGGAACAACCCAATAAGAGCCAACCATAACAAGCGAAAGAAGAGAATATACAATCGCTCAATAAAACTATTATATAGTAACTCCCCCCAGCACATTTGCAAGATTTCTTGTGTTTCCTTATATTCGTATAATGTAATGGCATTATAGAACTACAGGTTATGTTGTTTTTTTTTACTTGAAGGACAATTTAGTTATCGTAGTTCCAACAATTCATTCCATACTCATTCGTGCGCTCTTTTATAAATCACTTTTCTTCCCCAGCTACAGATTACAAAGAAAAAGCGCTCGACAAACATAAGAGCACATTTGGTGTAAAGCAGACCACAGTAAATCACACTTGAGGAAGACATACACAGATAGATGTGAAAGAGATTAATATTGTATACAGAGAATTTTTAAAAGTCCCAGGTCCTCAATTCATTAAATACGTTATTTTGAATTATTGCTGTTCATCCTCACTTTAACATTGCCTGATTCCGACATCCAACGCTAGTCATTTTGATCTCAGGAAAAAAAAAAGATTCGTGTAGGGATATATTTCAAATTCTATACCGAGAAAAAAATAAATAATATCTAGCTGTGTTTTTCTAAACGCGATAAAAAATATTCTGTGAATTAGCATTAATGTTCACAATAACGACAATAAATATAGGTTATGAGGAAAAGCTCTGTGCCAAATACAACAGTGAAAGAAACAAGAATTTCTCATTACGAATTGCTTAAGCTTGATTCGTGTGTGGCTAAACGACTCAGTCGTTTGACAATACTCTGTGTCATGTTTTTCTGCCAGGAGTCCAACACTGTATGGAATTACAATATTTTCCTTTGTCTCCACTGTAGATACTGTGTGCGTGCTTTCCCGGCCTCGTATCTACCCATCTGATGAGTTTTTGTGAACGGCTCGTGGCCTCCAGTGTACCCCTATGTGACTCAAAATCCATCCATCCTTTTTCTAACTGCTTATTCCTGGTGAAGATCACGGTTTGACTCAATATGAAAATATCAGGAGTAAGGAATCTGATGGCAGAGAAAAAGAAGCTCTGAATTTGCCACTGGGGCACTTGGTTTATCTTAGTATATACTGGTATTAAAGATGTAAGTACAGTACAGTATGCAAATGATGTGGCAGCACAGAAAACCATTCCCTGTTTTTGTTTTCTTTGTTTTACAATAGGTAGTTTTATATATAAAGCAAAGGAACTTGAAGGGAAAAAATGATCCACTGATCCAATGCCAGCACTACAGGACTGTTAAATTGCACCATAACAGCACCGTGTATTACAGATGTCTTTTTGAAAAGTTTTTTTAAACTTTTCAAAGCCTAAAATCAACTGAGACCGTTTTTATTTCGCTTTAATGAGAGACGATATATAATAGAAGAAACAATTCAAAATACAACAGACATCTCGGATAACAACATCAACAAGGGAATTGCAATTATTCATAAATTAACACGTGGGACTAATGAAAAGGAAAATCCCAAAAAATCCAAGTATTTAAAGTCTTTAATCCCATAGTTTGATTTTAGGTACAGATGTACAGTATAGTGACAAAACATTTTTAATTTTTAAGGATTAATACATTTTAAAATGTGGTTTAAGGATTTATAAATTAACTGTGGAATCCTAATGTCAGACTTATACCTAAGGTATTTAGCGGTGACATACAGTACCTGAGATGCAATTTAATGGGATGTTTATGAACTCCTTCTTAAACTTAAGATTAGATGCAGCGTTTCGAAAATAGTAACTCACAGACAGCAGTGTATCATAGCAAATAACTCCGATAACGCAATTACAAACTACTGTAACTATATTTGCCAGAAAAAAATGTTTCCGGCAACATGTTTGTGCCATGATGTACTTTACAATGGCAAAATATAATGTCCGGAGTTAAGAATTGTGTAACATGGACAGGATATTCAACAATATCTGTTTAGTCGAATGCATAATTTTGAAAATTGAATTAGATCGGTTACTCCCTCGTTTTAACAATTATCAAATATTCCTAATCCTCATTTATTTTATTTTCTGGTGTCAAATTAAGTATTTCATACATTGTTGGCAGCTGAATATGGATGGAAAGCTAAACATTTCAGACTATGCCCTTTTGAGACTTTTGAAGTCTCTTCGGGGTTTTCTGCAACATTTTGAATATAGCATGGAAAAAATATTCTCAAGCAATTTCCGGAGGATGGTAGTGTAAAGGTGATGTTCACTATATTGTTTGCTTGTTTCTGAGAAATGCTATGTACGCCCGGTTAAAGGTTCTTAGGCTTCGGCTGTGGTTTACAATACAAGATATAGTGGCCTCCTACCCACACACAAATCTGGAGCGGAAGCGGCAAAAACTCACCTGCATTTTTTTATTTTCGAAACCTGTCCCGGCTGCGAACCCTTTGTTGTAAAAGAAAAAAAACAGCTCACAAAAGCATTTGAAATTAAGGCCCCCTATAGCCCAAAACCACAGACTATACCTGCTTGTATAGGCAATCAAAAAGTGAACGGTGAAGATAAATCAGCCCAAAACGAATCAATTTCTGCACGAAATGATTCTACCAATAGGCGCTTTTCTACCAACAAGCAATAGTTTAAGTACAATCGAGTACAAGCAATTCCTATTTAAACTCACCGTGCTATTGTTACCGCTACAACCCTCTAGCTTCTACTGCTTCTTATTACTGTATTACTTTAAGGTTAACTTTAAAGTTAAATGCAAATGTTGATTTTTTTCAGATACATTCTTTCTCACCTCAATATTTATTTAAATTGAATTATTATACAAAAAAAATGGAAAAACTGGACTACTTCGACATCACATACACATTGACACATTTTTGCAAATGAAGTGGGTTTAAGTCATTCAAAGAAATCTTACAGATGTGAGGAAGCCATGAGTATAGATGTTCCAAAGAGGCGATCTTCACCCTCTAACGTCAAAGTAGTAATGACTTGCATACTAGTTCAAGTAGGTAGGTCAAGTATGACTTACATACTGTCAACTATACTTAAACACGACTAGATAGCTCCTCATAGCGCTTCCTGTGCCAGTTTGACTGTACACTCAAGAGCGCTCTGTACGCATAGCAGTGGGATTCCTTTAATCTCAACACAGTTTTCTGCGTTTTATTTTTAAAGGAGATGGAAGTCTTTTAAAATCTCGTGAAGATGCTGACTTGTCTATTTTTTGTGTACAGCACTTACTTATTCAAAGGTAACTACTCATTTATTTATTAAGAACCAACATACTTCATATACACAGTTTATTACCTATATAAAAACACATTACAGACATGTACATAGGCGTACTGGTATGTAATCTTATCGCTAAATAAGTGCATTCATACATATGTAACTACCTGTGTGCTGGTAATATTATTATTAGTATTAAGTTACTGTTCTATCTTATATTTACTGTATTTGAGGACATTTCACAACTTATGTATAATTAATACATGTCTAAGCTTCCTGGGTACAAAAATGAATGTAAACAAGTAATTAAACAACAATAATAAAATTTGATTATTCAGATGTTAGCTTTGAGAGATTTATTCCTTAATCCTAAATAATTTTATGTTGAGAATGAAAATGTGTATTTGAAAATATGCAATATGTTAATTGTACCACTGATACAAAGGAGATTAATATACCTGACAAGATGTATACAGATCTATATTGTGCACATTAACAAATTATGTAGATTTGCATCAGTAATTAACATTACTACAGTACATTGCAAGAAGAAATGGCTCTTCATCAAACACGAGGGACACATTAATTACAAACTTCAGCTATATTTCTTTGGAAAATAATCACTCATGTTGTATAGAACAGTGATAATACATTGTACAAATATTTATCAATTTTGGTTAAAATTTTTACAGAACTTGTGAGGATGTCTGTACTGCATGATGCTATTAGAATTACTATTTTAGATTTTTTGTTGTTACTAAAGTATTTCTATTGTATATTTTCAACAGCTGCACAGGCTTTGGTATCCCAATTCCCTCCATTTGTGAAAGTGCAAGTTGGGAGCAGCATCAGTCTGCAATGTTATGTGAATCCAGGTGAATATTGCTATGCTATAGCTTGGCTGAAAATGGACCAGAGATCTCGCATCATGAGCCCTTGCATGAACTCTCAGCATAGTGGATCAAAAACATCACAGGGGGAGATGTGTACATACTCCATTGTCAATGCCACATCTCACCACACTGGGACATACTATTGCTCCCTTGTGATCGGGAACAGTATCAATATGGGCAATGGATCAACAATAGTTGTATCAGGTAAGATCACAAAACTAAAGGAAAAATGTTGCTACTCAATGCAAATCCCCAATCATTTCGATTACTTGGCAGTTCAACACTGTATCCCTTCATTCAAAACTTGAAATAGTGTGGTTTATGCATTCACTGTGTAGAGTAGTCCTAGTTAAGTGCAGTATATGACTTACTTTGCACTTTGCAGATTTGCGTAGATTTTAACAGTTAATAGAATATTACAATTCTAAGAATAATTATTTCACTCTGTAATATATTTTGGAAGGTTCAGAACACGGTGACCCATTCATTATCTTATAAGAC